CTTGGGTTCTGAGGTTGCATTTTGTTCCTTCTCGTCATTTTGTGTAGCACTGTCTTCTGCCCTTTGTTGTAGATCTTTGCTGTAGTTTAAACCTTCGCATGTACTGAAGTTCAGGTGCAGCTCTACAAAGTTTGGACTTATCCAGCTGTGTCTAACTTAGGTCTGGCTGCTTTCCTCATCTCCTTCCCACTCCTGCCCTTGAGGGTGAATATGCTGTGCCCCTGTGGCAAGATGTTCTGCTCCTGGACTAGCTGGGTCGCACTATCCTCTTCACTCTCTGCAGCGATTGCAGCTGCAGGTTCACACCTCTTACATGTATGCCAGGCCTGAGTTGTCCCTGGATGGGGCAAGGTGAAGTAGGGGGAAGAGGAAGCTCTCCCAGATACTCACTGGATCTGGGCTAAGACTGGGTCCGGCGGTTCCCAGAACCCCGCAAAATTCCTACTCGGCAGGTGGCATGGGCAGGTGCTTCAGATTGATGGGGGTTGCCCGAGGGGGTGGGAGAAGGTCTGGCCCACGCTGCGCCTGGGCTGGGACTTGTCTCGCCAGCACAGGGTAGCAGGAAGCTCTCCACAAACTCACCGGACATGGGCTAGGACTGGGTCTCTGAAGCAGAATCTTGAAATGCTTAGCACTCAAAGACGTAAAATTTATGGACAGTATAAACACATCAGGTATTTTATGGATGCTTTTTCTCTGAGCATTCTGATGCGGCTTATGATACCTATGAAAATTAAAGGACTGCTCCTATAGTTGAGAAGCTTATATTGGATGCTGTTTTAAATTATGTACTCTGTATCATGGAAGAATATATATTTTTCTATGTGAAAACATGTGTAGTAGCAATCTTAGGCTCTTCACATTATCTTCGCATTGATCAGTATTTGTTTAGTCCACAAGTTTACACTCTCTGGAGAGGGCAGCATGTGTAGAACCCATCTCACATCTTCATTCTCTTCCCCTTCCCTCTCTTCTTCCTCCTTCACTCAAGCCCAGGCTTCTAGTAATTTTTAGAAAAGATGAACTTTTTGTGTGTGTGCGTGTGTGTTTGTGTGTTCTCAAAGACCAAATTCATGTGACATTTGAGCTAGTTTGATTTTATTTCTACTTGCAAATCTGATAAACAACCTCCACTATTTTCTCGCTTAACTCATTGCCTGTGCTTCTTATCTACATTCTTATTGTATGTTCTAGGAAGACTTCCTCGGCCTTCGTCATAGTGCAAAATTATTTGTTTCTATGAAGTTAACAATCTGTATTTACTCTGTCCTCAAGAGGATGCCAGTATGGCAAATCAGATTTTGTTTTTCACAAGGATGAAACACAAATCCTATGGAAGGGAGAACAAAGAGCTTTCCCAAGAAATCATAATGCATGTAAAAATGAGAATGCTGTTTCAGTAGAGAAGATAGCTGGGGCAATAAGTTTGCAAAATACAAGTTTCAATCACTCTGGTTACCTTTTCTATTTTAAATATATGGGAGATATAAAGTTAATATTTGGTTACCCACCTCTGGCTTTGTCTGTTGAAGAGATTTACTGTTCCATCCTGACATGATTTTTGTGTTGATTATGAGCGAG